AGACAGAAGATATTTATACATACAGAGAACATGAAAAGGTGGAAGTACGCAGACCAATTGTAAGAGGCCAATCTACAATTGGTATGTGTACTTCCACCTTTTCATGTTCTCTGTATGTATAAATATCTTCTGTCTGTGTGTTCCACTCTATGCATCTGAAGAAGTGGGCTGTAGTCCACAAAAGTTTATGCTGAAATAAATTTGTTAGTCTCTAAGGTGCCACAAGTCCTCCTGTTCTTTTCACTAAAGGCAGAATCCTCCAACCTAGGGACGAAAGTCAGGCTTCTAAACAAATGGCCTGGTTTTCAGAGATGCTGAGCAGCCGCGGTTCCCAGTGACTTGCAGGTCTAGGCTGGAGGACATGCTCTGGAGCGGCAGTGCTCTGAAAGGGGCTGAAGGCAGAGGCCAGGGCATGGCTGGGCCACCGGGAGTGCCTTCAAGGAGGCCAGAACTGTGGAGGGAGCAAAAGCTGAGGGGGATGGGAGAACAGGATCTGTCATAAAGACCTAAAAATAGTCCTTCTTTCCAAGAAGCAAAACTTACAGGCGGTGAGAACGGATCAGAGCCGCTCGTTTTCTGGGGCAGTCAGCAGCAGGCCATGCTGTGTAGCTGGCCGGGGTAGGGCAAAGCTGATCTCCCTTTCCATTTGCTACAACACTTCCATACAGATCTACTGACTCCCTGCTGGCCTGCACCTCAAGGTCAGATCTGGGGGGAGTCATTCCCAAACCGGACTGAGGGCTGGGTGGGCTCCGACTTACCTGGAGCTCCCTGGAGTGGGCTTCTTAAGTCCCAGCGCTTCGCACTGTGCCTCGTAAATCTGGTTCATGGTGCTGTTCCCCAGCTCACACATTAGCTGCGATACACCAAGTGAGGGACAAAGCAGTCAGGAGAGCAGCCGCCTTCTGGCTCCCCCTCAGCCCCCCACCAAGGACTCTCTCCCCACTTCCTCAGCCTGAAAATCAGCACTCACTTTCAGTAACTCCGGCTCCCAGGAATCCAGCGTGAGAGAGCGGACTTTGGAACAGTGAACGCCCAGACTCCTAGAGAACCAAAGGGGAGACAGAGACGGGTTATAGGCTGCCAAACAAAGGGGAGACAGAGACGGGTTATAGGCTGCCAAACAAAGGGGAGACAGAGACGGGTTATAGGCTGCCAAACAGACTCTAGACAACAAAGCAGAAGGGCGAGTGGATCACAGGGTGAATGAGGGCAAACCCAGGTCTTACATATGCAGCAAAAGGAATCGATTTAGAAAGGGAGAGAATTCCACACACACAGAACTGCCCCCTCTCCTGGAGGGGTTCCCAGTGAATTCCTCAAACGAAAAAGGCGCCCGGTTGAGTTATTTGGCACTGAATTATTTTTATTTTTATTCTCCTTACTTACAATCCGTCCTAGGAAACCTTGAATGGAATGAGGTTTCCCTACTTGACACTTGCATTCCACTACTGCACGTGAGTGCTGGCTTGTTATTGTAGGGTTGTTTGTGAGAGCTGGGTTGCTCAACGCACACAGGGTTTGTTATCACAGAGGATGCTAATACTACTAATAATAATTTACACGTGTATAGCACCTTTCCCCCCACGGATCTCAACGCACTTTACAAAAGTGTGCAGGGATTATTCCCATTTTAGAAATGTAGACAGTAAGGCACAGACCGGGTAAGTGACTTCCCCAGGGTCACAGAGTAAGTCAGTAGCAGTTGGGAATAGAGTCTAGATCGCCTGACTCCCAGTTTTAACCACTAAGTTCTTCATACATTCCAGGACAGGGTAGCTGGCAGTAGAGATCATAATAGCTTCTATAACTGCTGAAGATTTTATTAGTTAGTGTCTGTAAAATGCTCTGTAGGTGAAATATGGTAAGTATTTTACCACAGCCAAGAGATTACATTTATTGCTATGTGGCTGTAGGCCATGTGCTGGATCCTCTATATATATAGGGTGACCAGATGTCCCATTTTTAAAGGGACAGTCCCATTTTTGGGGACTTTTTCTTATATAGGCGCCTATTACCCCGCCCCCCCACTCTCATTTTTTCACAGTTGCTATCTGGTTGCCCTATCTATATATATCAACGCTGCATATGATGTAGATAGAGATTCAGGCCTTGGCTACACTCGGGACTTCACAGCACTGCACGACAGCTCTGTGACGCGCGAGTGTAGTCGCACCACCAGCGCTGAGAAACAGCTCTCGCAGCGCTGTATGTACTCCACCTCTCCGCACTGCAAGCTCTGATTACACTGGCGCTTTACAGCGCTGCACTCGCGGCGCTCGGGAGGGGCGTTTTCACACCCCTGAGCACAGCAAGTTGCAGCGCTGTACAGCGCCAGTGTAGCCAAGGCCTAATACGTATGTGGGTACACAGCAGTACATAGTACCCGTAGAGTGAGTGTATCACACACATACATCCTGTTCTGTGTCCCTCACTCTTTCTCCCTCCCTCCCACACACACACACACACACACACACACACACACACACACACTCAGGAGTGTTCTATGACCTTTGAGCCTGACTGTATACACACGATAGACCAGCTCCAACCAGAGATCCCTCAGCGGCAGGCAGGCAAAGCCCCCAGGCGCTCAGGCTGGGCGAGCAGCGCACGCACAGTACCTGTGGATCCCAGAGCACTCGATGCACAGCAGAATGCCCAGGTTGATACTGGCCCAGCGGGGATCTGCCTGGCCACAGTCACAACACTGGTCATTTCCAGGGATGCTCTGGACCCTCTGTAGGATGCTCTCCCCCTTCAGACTCCGCTCCCGGGAGTCAGTGGCAGAGTCGATGCTGCTGGTGGAAGGGGAGGCGGTCCGGTCTAGTCTCTGCAGAGAGAGAAGGGGAGTCGCTGTGTGCTCTGCCAGCGGACAGATGCAGAGGAGTTCCGTGTGGTGCAGGCAGAGGGGCGGGCCGATGGGTTCGTTAGCACTTGCTCTGCCATTCCAGGGAGACATTACAGAATCAAACTGGGAAGCACTGGGGTGGGGTGGGGGGGCATTAAAATCCCAGTGTGGGCTTTTTATGTAACCGTCACAGGTGAAAAAAGTCAGCTAGACAAACCTGAGCTGGTGTCAGCCAAGGGAAGGGAGGGTTGAGGATACCCCGATCTGTTCACTCCCTTTGAATCGGAGTTTGGGGATGTGAATGAAGGGAAGCGTGAATCTTCCACCTGTACTAGTGACTTCTGTCACCAGATGGCGCTACACAGCACACCCCTCTCTTCCCCCCATTAATACACACCAAGGCTGGCAGCACACAAATGATTGCATGGTGTGTAACAGACCGCTGCCTTGTGTTGTCTCATCTTACCAGAGAGTGAATTCCCCTCAGTGTTCCCCGGGGGAGTACATCCTGCTCTGCAGGGACTCTCTGGAGGACAGGAGGAAGGTGGGGGCTTCAGGACTGCACTCCATCACGCGCCCCCCCCCACCGCCCGCTGCTTTGTAAGCTTGCCTTTCGTTTGCTAAACTACAGTTGCCTTTGGGCCGGCGCTGTCATCATTTGCACACCCATACGTGCTAACAAGAGCCCATGCCCGGGATTGGCGCTGCAACAGCTTGCGAGCGCCTGTCCCTGCCCCCGGACTCACTTCGATGGAGTAGCTGTCTGGGCTCTCTCTGTAAGCGGAGGCGATGCTGGCTTGAACTGCTTGGATCCAGGCCTGGCGCAGCTTCTCCGAGTCAGCCTGCAGCATGCAGCTCCTGGGTAGGGGAGAGGCATAAGAGACGCTGGTTGGCATGAGAAAAAGGGCTTGGGGTATGGGACCTGGGAAGCTGCAACACGGCGAGGTGCCTGAGTTTATAACCAGCCTCACAGCCTCGCTTCACCAAGGGTGACGATGGTATGGTTTGGAGATGCATGGTAAGGATGTGAAGTTACCAGGCGTGGCTTAGGCAAAATTAACCTCAGAGAAGCCATCACTCCTCACCCCACCCCAGTTCATTAAAGCAGCCCTGCTTTCACCCCCACCACTCCCAGATACATAGAGGGTCGGTGGAAAACAGGAATGTGACCGTTCCTCTCCTCAGTGGGTGCCTCTGTTTCCCGCACACCAGCTGTTCACTGCCCACAGTGCTGCTCTCATTAGGTTTCAGAGTAAACAGCGGAATGAATCCCCCTCTCCAGCCCCAGCAGAGCAGTGAGGCTTGAGTGCTCCTCACATCCCCACACAGCCTGAGCAATGCCCCCACTCCTGGGGCTCAGCCCACCCATTAAGGGGTGACAGCACCACGGCCTCCTGATAGGACACTCACAGCTGGGGGGGAAATGCATTATGGATGCCACCAACCACACACACCTCTCGGCTTCCCCTCACCACACACTTGCAACCCTCCCCTCACAAGTTCCCTCCCTCATCAGCCCCCTACTCCCTCCCCCTCGCACCACGTACTCCGTCTTCCTCCTCCTCCACCCACTCAGAAAATCCCTCCTTTCCTCCCAACACACACACTCTCCCCCCTCCCCCCGCCCAGCATCCTCCCACTTATACGCTCCTTCCCCTCACACACCTGCTCCCTCCACTCTGATGCTTTTAATGCCACCAGCAGCCGGCTGCTTCTTGGGGAGCCAGGCTGGTGACTCGGCACTTTGTGAGGCAGGCCCAGACCCTTCTCCCTTCCCTTCATGCATTATTCAACAGCTTTGGCAGCTCCCCATCCCGACAGGCTGTCTCCAAACACTGCTCAGCGTCTGGTTGAAAAAAATCGCCCACTGATAGGACTGCAACTCTGAGTGCAGGCAAGGAGGTCCCCAGGTCAGACTCTACTTGCTGGGTATCTTACAACCCCACATACGGTCCCAGCATTGCATTCTGCAGCTTAGAAGAGCCGCAACACTTACTTGCTAGGTGAGACGACCTCAAAGCAAAATCTTCTCTCTATGTCTTCGCAGGGCTTGACGCTACAGAGCCGCAGATCTTCCACCACCACCGTGAGGACATCCTGAAAGGAGGAGAGCGGGTGACTTTACACTCCTCCCTGAATCCCCATCCTATTCAGACCTTCCACAGATCTCTTCCCCTCTTCACCAGCTCCCTCGTCCAGAGCGCTCATTCCTCTGAGTGAACCTCAGAAGGCTCAGCACTTTTGCTGACCCAGCCAACCTTCTTTGGTCTGCAAGACTGGGCAGGCAAATCTCGTGAAGATTCTCTCCTGACGTTTCTGGTGCTTCCAGCTTAGGGTCAGGCTGGAAATACTTTGAGGACCAGCTATCTCATGGTATTTTAGCACATGCCAAACCAGCAGGAACCCCGAAGAGCAGGGACCTGATAACTAACAGGAGGAACAAGCTTTTCAAAACTCAGCTACAATTTGTCTTGAGTTGTGGACAAAGGGTCTTCGGGGGGGGGCGGGGAGAGGAGGGAGATTGTGTGTGTGTGTATGTGTGTGTTGGTGGGGAGATCATTGTGTATCCAAGCCAGAGTGCCCATCCCTGGAGCTCATTCCCTACCAAATCCAGGAGAACACAATCAACACAACTGCAGATTGATCTTCAGTAGGTGTCAAGCGACCACGGACTATCATGCTGATCAATGCTGTCTCATTGTTTCCCAGTACTCCCCCCGTCTGTCTGTCTGTCTGAATCCATTTGTTGCCTCCTGTCTTATAGTGAGATTGCAAAGTCTTTGGGGCAAAGGCCTTCTGTGTGTGTACAGTGCCTAGCACTATGGAGTGTGGTCCATGACTGGGTCTCCAGGTGCTACAGTTATACAAATTAATAACAATAATACCACAGCCTGGGAGTTACCAGCTCAGAGGGAAGCCCCACAGACCGTGCCAGTGTGCTGGATTTCAGTGTACAACAGAGCTGTCTCCTGCCCCTTTTCCTCTCAAACAGACAAAGGAGTAACCAAGCCCACTTTCTGAGCCTTGCCGATTGAGCACACTACCTCCTGACGGGAACGGAGATTGCCCCATGGAGCACCCACAGTCCAAACGTGGCATATCAAACCCGGGCAGGGACGGAGTTACTCAGCACATCACCTCTCCGTTACTCTGTCGGGCAGCAAGACTGGGGTCGTTATAAACACCAGCCGCTGTCCTTTGGTTGTCAGAGCGGCTTGGGTTCTGAGTGTAATATTATCTGACTGGAAATTTCAGACTGGGTTTGCTGTCAGATCTTCATCTGATCCAATTCTTCTTTCCCCCATGGTGCCCAAGTCCCCAGAGCAGCAGGACATCAGACAAGTTGGCTAATGTGCTCATGTCATCTGAGATATGCTCACTGACCTTTAGCTTCTTCTGGTAGACCAGCTGGCTGTTCTGTATGGAGAACCACCTCCTGAGGAGAGAGAGGGAAGAAAGAGGCATCAGAGCAAGTGAACAGTGCCAAAGCTAGGGGGCGGGGGGAGATGCAAGCTCCTTTTCCCTGCAGAACAGGACATCGCCTCTGCACTTACAACATGTGCCATTGATTTTAGGGACTGTGGGAAAGACCAGGGTGGGAATAAGACTTATCTTCCTTCTGAGACTAAAGAAGTGCTTTGCAATGTTAATGGATTATTGTATTTGGCATCGAGACACTGGGGCGACAAGTGTCCTCGATACTTCTATAGAAACATTGACATACGGGAAGAAAGACAGAAAGACGGGGAGGGATAACATCAGAGTTGTACACTTTGTTTCTTAAGTAGGCCAGACTTCTTACTCCCCACCTTGGGAGTTTGGGGGCGGGAGGGAGAAGCCTGGCTGAGAGAAGTGGGGATGACAGGGTCACCTTGGGGAGAAGGGGCAGGTCAGGGAGCAGAGGGGAGGGCAAAAGGCTTCCAGCAGCCTGATTTTGACTAAAATCAGGACCACGGTGGACCCATTTGCTGCTGCAGGCAGAGGATGCTCTGTGATGCCTGAGCCCTAAGCCCAACCTTTAACCCCTAACCCTAAAATCACTGGCTTTCCCCTGTATCCACAGTGACTCTGCTCCCCAGTCACAGATATCTGTGAGGTCACTGCCTCAACCATGTATCCAGAGCGACTTTGCTCGCCAGCCACTGTCCTATGTGAGAGCCCTGCCCCACCCCTGTATCTAGAGCCTTTCGAATCCTAACAATTCGATTCGTGGAAATCCGGCCTTTCCGGTTTTCTGACTTTCACCAAAATCCGAAGGGGCGTTGTGAGGCCTATCCATCCGTTGCCCACTCCACGGTTCTCCTATAGCACGTATCACCATAGCACTGAAGAGCACTTTACAGCTGAAGAAACGAAGGCACGCGCACACCCAGATTAAGTGCTTTGCCCAAGGCCACAAAGAGTCAGTGTCAGAGTTGGGATTATAACCCGGGTGTTCTCACTTCATTCCTGTGATTTAGCCACAAAGAGCCTCTTTTGTCATGGGGGAGCTGAGGGAATTGACAGCAATCCATATTGTTACATCCCATGGAGGCTGTGTTGAAATATCTGGGCGCACACCAGGGTGAGGGAAGAGCTCAAAGGCCTTGAATCTGGATGTTTTGGCTGGCGTGAGAATAAGTCAAACTCTCCCATTCTTTTGGGTTGCTGGTGTTCAATATGAACTATATGGGCCCGATTTTCAAAGAAGCCTCCTAAATCGTGTCTACAAAATGTGTGGCCCTTCTGTTTGAGCAAACAAAAACCCTGCATTTATCGCAAACTCTCTGCATAACGTTTCTAGGGTTACTCGTTAAGTAGGGGCACTCGAGTCAGTCTGAAACTCCTACAGGGCTTGGACAGTTTGGGGGAAGAAGCCATGCTGCAGCTGTGCTATAGACAGTGGATTATTTAAAGCATCTACCACACGCTCGACACGCTTAGGAATTCGGTACCCTGGGAAAATGAGGCAAGAGAGGATTCTGTTTTCAGCTCCTTGCTTGAGACATTGCTCAGAGATAAAAGGTGCCGATTGTAAAGGACTTGATGTCAGCATCGTATTATTGCCTAGGCCGACAAGGCTAGGCCTAGGGCAGCAAATTTGCAGGGGCGGAAGCTCCCCTCCACGCCCCGCCCCCCTGCTCCAGCTCACCTCCACCTCCTCTGCAAGTGCGCCGCTGCATCCGGTTTCTCTCCCCTCCCAGCGCTTGAGCCACGAAACAACTGTTTCGCGGGGCGGGGGAGGAGGGGGAACGCCGCGCGCTGGGGGAAGAGGCGGGGCCGGGGGTGGGGATTTGGGGAAGGGATCCAATAGGGGAAGGGAGGGGGCGGAGACTTTGGGGAGGGGGTTGGAATGGGGGCGGGGAAAAGGCGGAGTCGGGGCGGGGCCAGGGCGGCAATTATTTCCCGGCGTAGGGGCGGCAAAATTATTAATCTGCCACTGCTTGATGCGTCTGCCAGAAAACAGAGCAACGCAGGAGACCTGAGGCCATTCTGCCTGCTTGAAAGCCCCTTTTGATCAGCTCCTGAGTGTGTTTGGAGCTGCAGCACTTTGAGCTCCACCTGGTGACAGCCATTCCCTCTGGCAGTGGCAACGACATATTCTCAAGCAGTTTTGCTGTCACATGAAGCCAAGTGGAAAGCTCCCTTCCCAGCTGTTTGATCCTGGATGCTGCTCCTCACAGCGCTGTATCTCCTCCTGTTTGGTTTCTTAGCTGGGGCATTAGCATCCAGGAATGCTCTGGACTATGGTGCTGGATCTCATTCTGACCTCAGGGGTCTTCTTCGTCCAGTATCCTTCTGTGTATGTTTCCAACAGGGACTTCCTCCCAGGGCCCTTAAAATCACCATAGTATCCTCCCACCCACGGTGAGGGGGATATGCATGGCTGTGAATAGCTGGGCTGTGGGGGGATACAGATGACTGTGAATAGCTGGGTGGGGGGGATATGTACAGCTCTGAATAGCTGGGCTGTGGGAGGTATGTACAGCTGTGATAGCTGGGCTGTGGGGGTATATGGATGACTGTGAATAGCTGGGCTATGGGGAGATATGGATGACTGTGAATAGTTGGGCTGTGGGGGTATATGGATGGCTGTGAATAGCTGGGCTGTGGGGAGATATGGATGGCTGTGAATAGCTGGGCTGTGCGGAGATATGAATGGTTGTGAATAGTTGGGCTGTGGGGAGATATGGATGGCTGTGAATAGCTGGGCTGTGGGGAGATATGGATGGCTGTGAATAGTTGGGCTGTATGGGGATATGTACAGCTGTGAACAGCTGCCTTGAGGGGAATGGGGTTCCTTGCTCAGAACTCCCATGGATCGTCTGCAGGGGTGAGATGGGGACTCACTTATCCTGCAGTGTAGGAGCTCAGCATTAATCTGACACATACTGGAATGGGGTGGTGGCCTTTTGCATCAGGAAGCCTGGCTCTGCTGAGTGAAAGGCTGAGAATGGAGGCAAAGCTCTGCATTGGAAATACTGCGGGGAAAACCGTAAATGGTTCATAAATTCAGCTCAGAGGAGTGCCCTGTAGTTCACAGGTTAGCAATTACCAAATCCAAACCTCTGTAGCTGGGGGCTGGAAATCTCACAAGAACAGCTGTTCTCTTCACAATCTGGCACTTTGGCTTCTGGTGCCTCAGGAAACCTTGAAGTGCAGAGAATGCACTTGAATGCCATGCAGATGGCAACACTGGGGCTAAGAACATCAGACAAACTGGTTTGGAATGGCAAGAAAGGCCCAGCTTGAGTTGCGGGTGAAGGTTTCGGGAGGGAGGGACTTACCCCAGCTTACCGGTCTCTAGGCATAAAACCAACAGTTTCTGCACAAAAATACAGGGACGTGGTGAACTGCTTGTTTGTTTCAAACTTCTACCTAGCTGCAGAAATTACCCTGAACTTGGACAGACAGGTGACCTCTAGGTATTATATCACTGCACTGCCAGGTGAGAGGGGAAAGCAGGAGGGGTCAAGGGGGGCATTGATCTGATGTACTAATAATAGAATCCGATGGTTTGAATTCTGCTCTTAACTGCACCAGCGTAAATCCGACCCATTGACTATCACAAGGGTTCCTAGACACACACAAATATTGATTGAGGAGAGAACCTGAAACCCGCTTTGCTTGCAGTTCACCTGGGAGCTGGGGAATTTAACTGCATCCCCAATGACCCGTCAACTGAAATATTTATAAGTGACTGAGAGAAGGGGCAGTGCCCAGCGAAGCCAGATCCTGACATTTCCAGGCTCCCACCTCCCAGGGAGGTTGGATACTAGCAGCTCTTGAAAGCCAGGCTTGTCCTGCTGTGTTAGATGTTTCTCTTGATGGTTACAAGCATACAGCTTTCCTGGGGCAAGGCTCCAGCTGCTTTGTGTCCTACGCTCCCTGCATGAAGCCTGGTGGTTGTCGTAAGATGGAAGGTTTTCGCTGTCACGTTTGCTGGCATGTACCAAGAGGCGGCAAACTGCAGGCAGGCTGACTGCACTGGTTCACCCTGTAGGACGATACCAGTTCTTAGCAAAGAAAGAACTAGGCTAATGCCAATGCATGCAAGGTCTCCCACTGTACTATTTCCATGGTGACCTTGGGCCCTGATGGACCAGACTGCAGGTAGCTGGTAAAATAAAGAAGTGATAACAAAAGAAAGATTCACTGACTTTCCGTGGGAGAGCTGAATGGTCCCACAAACATTTGCAGGGCCAGGAGAAGCCAGTTTATTTTGCAGACGATCTTCACTACCTATAAAATACATCACATCCAGCTCCTTTTACTGAGCCTAAACCTTTCTGTTTAGAACATGCCAGCATCACAGGACCCTTCTTATATTAAGTGACTTCACAAGTTCAGCACACAAAGAGTTAAGGGATGCTGCACTGACAGACAACTCTGCATCAACCCAACATCGCTTCTCTGTGTGGGCCTGGAGCTGATGAAGCCACTTAAACAAAGGAAAACACCTGCTGAGTTGTAGCCAAGTGTGCGCTGCCAGGCTGGAGATGCATTCAGAGCCCTCATCCAGTTATCAGTGGGGATACACGTTACTTACCGATTCCATGTTTTGAAAGCATTGCTTGCTCTCTTGAAGAGGTACCCTTCCATCACCACTCCATTGGGGGCATCGACATTAAATTCCACCTTGGAGTCATCGTAGGAGAAGTCCTGCAGGTCGAAACATGTTGAGAAAACACATCAGGGGATGCTGGTGCTGCAGCCTCAGCGCCACAAGAACTAGGGCGAGGGGCATGGTAAAAACACCCAGATAAATGGGAAACGGTGACACCAAACAGCACATCAGTGTTGGGACCATGAGGATATCCAACCGGGAAACATGTGAACACGTGTAAGAAGGTTCTGTGGCTGCGGGGGTTATTTAAAGCAGCCTTTCCCTCAATGGAGGCCTATGCGCCAATCCTTGATTAGGTTGCAAGAGAGAATAAGTTTGCTGGTCTCAGCCTGTGTTTTCAGTGGAGGCTGGTTTGCATCGTGAGAGTACTTCCTTTTTCGGAAGTAATCCTCATGATGGCCAGACTCCGGCCCAGAGGTTTGGTCAGGACTCAGGTGTGGTGGCAGAGCAGAGTGGCGTTCCAGGACTGGCATAGCTGAGGTGTTACTCATCAGGCTGGAGGAATACCGGCAGATCCAGAACAGGTGAAAGGACCATAGCAGAAAGAGCTGGAGCTCAGGAGTGGGGTGCATGGGTGGAGCTGGGTTAAGAATTAGCGCTGAAATAGCTGAGGTGGTGCAGGACAGCTATCGAGGCAGATCTCTGCCCATGAGAAGCTTGCTCTATCTGGTTGCATTTAGTGCTCCCTGTCTCTCACTGTCATGGCTATTCACATTCTTCTCCACAATTTTTGGGGTTGTCTTATGGCCCGAGGAAGTGGTCACAAATTCAGTTAGTTCGAGTATTTCCCACCCTAATGATTTTTTTTTGTGGGGGGAGGTGTGGTGCTTAAATCAGAGGGATTGTTCACTGCAGTGCCAAATTACTCCCGTTTCCTGGCTCAGGGTTTTATCAGCCAGGTTTGACAAAATAAGCCCTTTTTCGAAGACAGTTTTAAGTCATTATTTTTTGTATTAAAAGTTCACCCACAAACCACTGCCTCCTGCTGGGCATATTTTCACACAGCACCCCAGAAAAACAATGCCAGCAGAATCCTCTCACTCACATTACTGCAATAACTGGGAGCCATGAATTAGTCTCACTCCAGTATCCTTAGCTGTTTCTATTGTTAGGTGTTAGTAATGCGCATGCAGTTAACCACTGCTCCTCCTCCAGTGAAAGCCGTGGCTACCCTAGCAGCTAAGAAGAGAAAGAGTGGGTGGTTTGGTATCTTGATGGTTGAAAATGTCCAACCTCAAGTGCAATCTGCAATTGGCAGTGAACAGACAGTGAAGTGCTGTTCAGAGGTTAAGTTATTCTGTGTAACTGGGTATTGCCTGCCCTGGATGAGCCCATGATCAGAGCAAACATGAGCTCGTCACCATGTAGCTGGGGACAGGGTCAATGGATGGTGTTTCCAGGAGGGAGGAAGGAAATCACCAATCCCGTTTCCAGTTAGTGCATTCCACACACCAGCCCCGATCTTTACATATTCACCTGGCAAACAGACTGCCAGTCACATCTTTACCTATCTATCACCCTGATAGCTGACGTACTGAGTTTGGCATTGCTGTGCCCGATAGATTCCATGGATTGTGGTAGCACGTGAACAGGGCAAAGGGCTCCAGTAATTGTTCCCAGAAAATCCTCATGGAATTCTGCTACCAGTGGAGGGCAGTATCTCCTGCCCGATGGAAACCAGGTCACGGAGCCTGAATTACTTTCCAACCTAACCTGCAGTACTAGGAAGTCTGTTCTTTCCGCAAGCTGCCTTCGCCATTACATAGTACTCTGCAGCCAGCTCCTGCTGGTATAACATGATCCCGAGAAAGGTAAAACACAATCCAATGGCTGGAAGTTAAAGCTAGACAAATTCAGAGTAGGCATAAGACATACGTTTTTAATGGTGAGAGTAATTAACCATTGGAACAATTTGCCAAGGGCCATGGTGGATTCTCCATCACTGGCTATCTTTAAATCAAGATGGGATTTTTTCTAAAAGCTCTGCTCTAGGAATTATTTGGGGGAAGCTCTCTGGCCTGTGTTATACAGGGGGCCAGACTAGATGATCACAATGGTCCCTTCTAGCCTTGAGATCTGTGAATTTATGCACTTGAGCATAAATATTTCTCTCCACTCTGCTAGATTCAGAGGCCCAGCCGCACCACAGTAAAAAGCATCATCATTAACTTAAGTGCCTTTACCAGCCCAGCGCATGGCGACTCTAGTGATGCTGTGTTGCTAGGCAACACGCACTTCAATCTCATTAGGATGAGTTATTTCCATGTTCGGAGATGCCAGCTTGCCAGGGAGATATCATAATAAGAATAATACTAGTAGAGAAGGAGGAGATATAATGGGAGAAGACTGAGTCATTTCTGGAAAAGGCAGCGTGACGCCCAATTAGCCAGGAGAGGCTACGCTGTAAGGCTCCCACTTAAAGGGGGTCCACTGGGCCCCAAATTTACTTGACATAAAGGGGGGGGGGTGAAGCCCATGTGGTCCCCTTTGTGGATGCTTTTGATGTAGCATTACAAAAAAAGACAGAAGGGATTCTGATCCCACTTCCCTCCACAGCCAAATCTATTGGCTGCAGTGGAATTACTCCGGAAAGACACTTGTGTAAATGAAGTCAGAATCTGGCCTGTTTGTTTTAGTGTAAACACGGTGAGCCACCAAACAATGTCTTCTTTCAAAAATGCATGACAAGGCTAGGGCATGAGATTTCCAGTGGTCAACATTCAAAGTCAACATTTGCCAACTGATACCATACACCTACCGCAGGTATTTCCTGTTTTAGTTAAAGGGGGATCAGGGGGCTCTCAGGTTCCACAGAGTGGAAACTACTAATAAATACGCTTTAACTTTGACAACTGTGTTGTACCCGACTTTAGGGAAGAGGTATAATTTGGGATCTAAATATGTTAATCGGGCTTCTTCAGCTGTCCCAAAACAAAAACACGTTTATTACAGCAAGGAGAGAATTTTGCTGACGAATGCAAGAAGGACAGATGGGCCATATGCATCCACTAAAAATCAATGGAGTGACATCAATGGAGTGAATGCAGCCCTGCATGTTTGTATTTTATTACACTTTTCCCAATTTTGATTGGCTAAACATGGTTCATGTGATTCCCCTTCTCCCCGTTATAATTTCACAGGATTGTCTGGAAAAAAATCAGGTGACAAGTGAACTGTATTGAGACTTCAAAAACAAGGGCGACAGCACCTGGAGAACTTCCTGGCCTTTCAAAAACCTCTATTTGGCCAATCTCATCTTTAAAAAGAGAGAGTGTGTGCAGATAGAGAGATAGATAGTGCCTAGCACAATGGGGTTCTGGTCCATGGTAGGGGTTCCTAGGTGCTACCACAGTACAAATAAATACTATTACTATGTACACACCCAACCTACATATATTACTAATAGGAAATTGAGATCCACCTTGATTGGTGTTGGAAGCTGGCTCCTCTAAAAAGCACACAGCTGGAAAAAAATGATATTTGGGTGCATTATTTGAACAATACTTTCTCTTTTCTAATCCACCACCTTTTTGGGGAGGGGTGGGGGGTCAGAAAAAGTCCCTGGACCAAACTGTGGTCTCAGTTACTCCGGTGTAATTCCCAAGTAACTCCTTTGACGTCAAAAGAATTATGCTCGGGTAACAGAGAGCAAAATGTGGGCCCTAGAGCTCTAAGCTGGATTTGTGAAGTAGGTCCAAGTATAGGAAGATCCTGTGTGTGTCTTATCCTTGGGAACGTACCCATGCAGATACTTAGAGGGGGAATGCATTTTGTTCAATCACAGTGGACTAGAGGGAGGTGGTTGGGGCTGTTACTACAGAATACTGCAGTATCTAAAAACAAATGAAATCAGAGAAAGGGTAGATAAGGGAAAAATCCAGCATTCCCCCTCCCTCCACTGAAAAATGAGATTTGTTTCCCCTTTCCCACTGAGACCAAATAAGAAATGTATGGAGATGGCTTGAGGCTGAACAGCAAATAAGTCAGGATTCAAGTCAATTTCATGTCCCTGCCATTCACAGCTTGCATCCTAGAGGATTGACTGCTATGGGCCTGAGGAGATTAGATACTCAGGTCCATTCAGAGAGATGCACAGAGGCAGCATTACCCTTTGTCTTAAGGAGAGATTTAACTCTTCTGGTTCCAGACTGCGAAGCGTGGCCTGGGCAATGCCGCAGTGTCTAAGCCCTGTGTAAATTTGCAGGGCCAGGTCTCTGCTCCGCACTCCTTTCTTAATAAATACTAATCACAGCATAGTTAATTAAAATTAAAAACCCTACAGTTAAAATCAGCCAGGATGCTGTGGCTTACAAAACTGATTCCTGTGCACGTATCTCCACATTCCCAGCCCACATAAAGATGTGTCCTCCCCTGGCATGTTGGCCACTGAAAAGAGAAGGAGCAAAGAAGGGTGTTCTGGAGGGGGAGCTGCTGGAATACCAGCCATCTGGCGAAATGTCATTCCCAGACCCCTGCCCTCTGATTCTTGATTCGTTATCGTCGCTGGCCTTGGAAGCTCTTCCAAGCATCTGAAGAAATAGTGCTGCAACCTATGTTCAAATAACATCAGGATGCGGCCACTGATAGATACAGCGAATGTGCGAAAACAGTACTGTCTCACCCGACATACCTGCCCCCTTTCTGCATGTGTCTGGCTGACATCTGCTCACTTCACGGACTCAAGGAAGCTCTTAATCCTGTTAGCCCTGCAGAGCGGTCCAAAGAGCCCAGGGAGCCCGAGCACAATTCTGTGCCTGCCCCACACACATCCCCATCATCAGCCGAGCCTCAGTTAAGTCCCTGCGGCTGACCCTTTATTAGAAAGGATGCCATGAACCCAGCTGGACTCTCCAACCGCAGGTGGCGTGAGGAAAAAAATCACCCTTCTGCCTTGTAAGCCAAGTAACTGTCCTGGGTCCACTCCCACTCGTCAAGGCTTGAGGGAACAAGAAAGACAAGGGGCTCCCGCTCTCGCTCAGGCTCCTGCTGTTGTGTCATCTCTTACACGTAGCTGCACGTTATGGTCGGAGACTCG